AAGTCCTACGATGTAACCCATAGCTTGGGGGAGAAATGATGGGCCCATACCTTTCCCAAGGGCTTAAAATATTACATCAGTGTACCCTGCATTTTTGGAGCCACACTATTACATTTGCTTATATTATGGCGACGTTGATAATTATTTGTACCTGACTCCAAATAAATTCTCTCCAACCAAAATAGCCTCATCAAACTCAAGATTGCGTCCTGGGTAAGACGTTAAACTACATCCAGCAACAAGACCTCTCATCAGGAGGTTTTTAGGAGCGTGGAACCACTTAATTGTTGGTGTTCCCAGGTCCACCTGACCCGGGGTGGTAGCACCTGTTAGGGTCCCAGCTATGGGCAAATAGTTAACTATTACCAGCAATACTTTTTTGAAAAAAAATATTACCAGCAATACAATTTTGAAGGAAATAAAATTGCCATCAATAAAAAAAAAATGTCAGCATTAAATAACCCATTGAGGTAGATATGCCGTAAAACAAAATAAACCAACCCAATCTAAAACAAAGAATACAAATTCTATTCATACGAATCTCTCCTAAAAATGTTGTCGGCATTAAATAACCAATTGAGGTTGATATGCCGTTAAACAAAATAAACAAAACAAAACTCAAGATTGAATTTCAAAAAAAAAAAAAAAAAAATGCGTAAACAAAAGAACGAGAAGACAAAGTTGTGACTTCAAATAAAACTGTAATAATTATTTTTAACAAATGATAGAAAATCTTCATCTTGGTTGAGAAGTGAAATCAATACTATTTTCTTACTGAAAAAGAAATTATGGTCAGTCGCTTGAGAAAGGAAGTCACAAGAACTCTGTAAGTGCATGCATGTGTGTGGAGGGGTAGATTACAAAGTGAACAGTTGACTTTCTTCGACTAGACGGCCTGCGTGTTTGGAGGGGGGTGTAAATATATTTGTGTGTACGTGTCTAACGGTGTCTAAGAGATGAGCGACGAACTCGCCCCCGTAAAACTGATGGACATCGTTTCTTGTATAAGGCTGAGTAGGATCAGATAAGCTGTTTTATATTCTTTCTTTAAGAATTGAAATAAAGCGTTCTGATTGGTCAATAAATCTAAGAAAGGCGTTTCTTTACAAACTATAGCAATTTATCCGGATGTTGTCGGCACGGTGGAGTAGTGGATAGCGGCTCGGATTGAGAGCCGAGTTCAAATTCCAGTCGAATCCATTACATTACCATTTATGTGCTAATACCCCTGGGAAAGGTATTAATCCTCTTTTTCACCCTCCAGCTATAGGTAAATAGCAGGACAGACTGAGTTCTATAGCCTTGGATGGCCACTCTGAATTCAAAACCTTCAGAGGGTCGTTTGAGGACCTTGTGGCTTGTAGTGCACCAGGTCTCTGTATTCGGCCCTTCGAAAGCTATGGGTTGAATAGTAGGACAGAATTCTTTAGTTCTTTAGCCTTGGATGGCAACCAGTCTACCATAGAAAGAAATGGCAAAGCGGGAAAAAATCTGTCTTGTCAGTCATGTATCGAAAGATACATGATCGTCCAAACTTATATCACGTATGGTACTTAACTGACTGTTGTCGGCTGAATCATTTGAAGTCCGAGTTAGAAGATTCTAATTTTTTTTATTGGTTCTAAACTAAATTCTTATCGGATTTAAATTTGGGTTTAATTCTACTTACAACAATATTCTGGCAGCTAATTTAGAAAATAGGTATTTTTTTAAGATCACTTGCTAACTTTATTACAAAACACTACATGTATAGATGTAACGTAAATGCATGCAATAGGTTCCCAAGTAGGCATCTATGCGGACGACACTACTATTTATTCCTGCATCAAAAACAAATCTAGTGTCGCCGACAAAACTAACCTGGCTGTTTGTCTTGAAAAGAACCTTCAAACGGTTGTGGACTGGGGCAAGAATTTAATGCCTCAAAAACAAAACTGCTCTCTATTACTCACCAGAGAGAACCATCCCTGCCTCCCATTAGAATGTCTGACGCTCAACTCCACGAGAGCACTTCTTTGCGACTGCTCGGTCTCACATTGTCCGCTGATCTGAGATGGAACGAATACACTGAGTCAATAGCTTCGTCCACCGCAAGGAAAATTGGCTCCCTGTGCCGCGCCAGGAAATTTTTCTCGCCGGAGTCGATCCTTCAAATCTCCAAATCAACCATTCGTCGTTGCATGGACTGCCATATATGGTCTGGTGCCCCTTCCAATTGTCTCAAGGTCCTTGATAAAATCCAAAAACGGATATGCAATGTAATTGGCCCTGATCTGGCATCTCGTCTGCAGCCACTCTCTCACAGACGTGCCGTTAACTCCCTCTGTCTTTTTTACAAATACTTTCACGGTAACTGCTCCGATGAGCTGCTTTCGCTGGTTCACAGACTTCATGAATTTAAGCGTTCAACTAGGCTGGCATCTTGTTCTCACCCTTTCACTGTCGAAACTGTTAAATGTAACCGTCTCTTCTACTCTAATAGCTTCATGTCTCGCACTTCTCACCTGTGGAACTCCCTCCCCATTTCTTGTTTTACTGATAACTATAATTTCCAACTATTCAAATGTAATGTCAATCGACGTCTCCAGATGCCCTGATCTATCCCTTATACTTCTCTTCCTCCTTTCCTCTATCACTCCTATTTGCTCTCGCTCCTACTCTCTATAACCCTTTGCGTGCTAATGGCTTCCCGCCTTGCTTGGGGAAAAAATGTCCAAATACGCGCCTTCTCATTTATATTGGTTGGAACAATCTACGAATATCTCCTCACATGGGGTAGAAAATGACACAGTCACTTTAACGTGTTGTTTGGTTAAACTAGTTTTGCAAGCTATCAGTCGTGTTGGGAATTTGATCCCCACTGGGCGCCACACAAATATGGCGACGGAACAAACCAGTCTTCATTAAATGATGAGATGATTCAGCGTTTTTTTTTTTACATACACTCTTGTTTTATTTGTCTGTGCGCATGCGCAAGCGTGTGTTGTGATGGTATCGTACACGATGATATATTAGTGTAGACTGCTGTGTCGGTGTTATGTGTCTTGTTTTTAATGAAATGTAAATATTTAATCACAGAAATCTTTTTTATTTATATACATAATTAGTTAATTACTAAGAAAATTAAAAATAATTATTTACATACAAATCAGAATGTACAGTATTCAAATACAAATAAGTGTATCAGCAAAGACAATATTAATAAAGAAATGGCGAGGACAATCTTTTATGCCGAAGTGTTCCGTTTCTTGACGAAATTTAAGGTAAATGTAGAGATTTTATTTAGAAACCCGTATTTATACACACAAAAATGTAATATTTACTTCATTTAGCGTCCTCCATAGTTTTCCTTTCCTTAACGCCTAGTAATTTACGAAATTTTAGGGTGTTCTCTAATTCAAATTTAAAAGCAGAACGTTATATTTCTCGGCGTTACTTTTCCTCTGAGTATAAATACAGTTCCTTCAATAAAATCTTCACATTTGCCTAGATAAAGTGTCTCAAGGAACGAACCGCCTTGGCATAAAAGTTTTTCCTCTTATCATTTCTACCTATATTTAAATATACATTTTGCGATCAGAATGTCTACCTATATCTACATGTGTGTGTGAGTGTGTGTGCGTGTACATTCGGACAAAGTCAGTTGATCAATTGAAGTGTGAGACTAAGTCATTATGAAGTGTGGTGTTCTATGCCCTCAATCTGTATATGTACAAAGCCTCCATCTCTGATACTGAGAACTATCACCTCATAGATGTAATCATTTTTAAATAATATATATATATATAAAATGGACTCGTCCCGTCTCTCTAAGGATCGGGTTATTCAAGGAATTTTTCTGCGTGAAAACTTAGGATCACAAACTCACATCCATAAATGAATATCTTAGCTCCATCACTGATATTGAGCACTTTCTAATAAGTACTGCGCATATAAAATTATATATATATATGAGTTCCACTTAAGATCTGAGTGAACTTGAATCTTCGCACAATTGATATATTTAACAAAGCAAAATAATATTTTATTCAAATTTCCAACATTGTATTGATTACGTTATGAAATACTGCACTTTCCCTAGTTTTTATAATGTTTCCCCCGAATACGATATTACTTTCCGAACAACTTATTATTATTTGTGTTTTTTGTGTATACAAATCACAATGTGTGGGGGTGTATGGCTGTTTTTAAAATGCGCCTTGTACGCAATCACTTTTTTAATAAAGTAGGACCTCTCTCTCTCTCTCTATCTGCCCCAGTCTGTCTTTATCTCCCTCTCTGTGATCTTCTCTCTCGCTCTATCTATCTATCAATCTGTATCTCTCTCATATATATATATATATATATATATATATATGTGTGTGAATTCACACATTATGAAATGGACAAAGTACGACAATTAAATTGAGACTTTTATGATTATACATTCTTTTTATAGATTCAAATACTTAAGTAAATGCTTTGTTTATAATAAACAGTATTAACATTTACCGGCCTAAATGTCCGAGAAATTTTCATAGAATATTTGCGTGCTCCGACTGGAATCGAACCTGTATCCGATACGGAACCGTCATATAGCCTGACGGGCTTTTACCGATTTTGCCACAGAGGATCGTTTCGGTTAGCAACTATACTCGACTGGTATAAATAAATAAAAAAAATAAAAAAAAAAAAAAAAAAAAAAAAAAAAAAACGGACAGTACAATTTGCTAATAAAAATATTTAAACAAAATGGTATCTGCGGAAAATCGAATAAAATAAGTAATGACGAAAATACACTGAGTAGACAAACCTAGTGAGCCAGAAACTACCTACCAAGGTTTCACCTAAAGGATCTTCAGGACTAGGTCTGAAGATCCGTTAAGTGAAACCTTGGTAGGTAGTTCCTGGCTCACTTGCATTTATACACACACACACATTTTATTTTATAAAATATATATATATATATATATATATATATATATATTAACTATCTTCCCTAATCTGTCTTCATCTCCTCTATGTTCTTTCTCTGTCTCTCTCTGTATCTATCTATCTATCCATCCATCTATATCTCCCGTTCTGTCCATTAAGTTTAATTTTTTTTTTATTTATTGTTATTTTTTTCCCCTTAGAATAGCGAGAAACGATACTTGTCGGCCGAAAGCTAGCATCAACAAACAAGCAATAGATCTGGGAATACCTTTCGATACATGTCACAAGAACGGAAACACAACAAATAAGCATTTCGTTCCGACCAGTCTTAACCCAATCCAGCCGGTGATGAATTTGCATTAACCGAGCCTCGCCATTGCCTAAACCAAACAAGTCATTCTCTCTCTCTCTCTCATCATTCTACCCCTAACCTTCCCCATCATTCCCTGACACATCCAACTTTTCTATCCACCCTGACTCACACACATTCCCTCTTTCTCCTTCCCTCCCTCTTTCTCACATTGTCCCTCTCTATATATACTCCGTCTCTCACTCACTCGTCTCTCTCCTTCCTTTTCTCTCCATATTTATCTCTTTGTATCTCGTCCTTATTCTGTCACCCTGTTCTCTCTCTTCCCATTCATTATCTCCATCCTGTCTTCCTTTTCTCCCCCCCTTTTTCCTTCCCTTTCACCCTCCCTCCTCCTGCCCTTTCTCCCCTTCTCTCTCCCTCCCTCTCTCTCCTCCTGCCCTTTCTGTCCTTCTCTCTTTCCCGTTGAGAGACAAAAGGTTCGTGCATTTCAACAGTTTTATATGGTTCACTCCATATTTACAAGTCTATCATTTGTCCTTGCTTTGAATATTGCAGCCACATATTGCTGTTTAGAGATTCTTGATAAAATCCAAAGAAGAATCTGCAATGTTAACTGTCCTAACCTGGTACCGCGGCTTCAGTCTCTTTCCCTCTGCCGTAACGCAGCTTCCCTGTTCCTTTTCTATAAATATTTTAATCGCAATTATTCTGATAAACTCTCCTCTATAGCACCGAGACTTTATGAATTTAAGTGCAATATTAGATTGACGGTAGGCCTCGTCATTTCATACTGGAAATGGCGAGATATAACCGCAAGTTCTATGCTAAAAGTTTTTTTCTATCGCACTTCTCGCTTGTGGAATTCTATTTCGGCTTCTTGACTCCCAGTCAACTTTGATCTTCAAAAATCTAAATGCAATGTCAATCGTTATCTTCTATCTTCTTAATTCTTGTTATTTTATTGTCCTCACTTCTTAATAGCAGTTTTTCTCATATTCTCTAACACTTAGTAGCCCCTTGCGTCATAATGGCTTTATCACCTTACTTGGGGTGAAATGATTAAAAACAGTACATCAACATGGTATTTACTAAAGTCAGCTCCTGCACTTGTCAGCAACACTGGTCGACACGATTTTTGGTGCCAAGAAACAAAACACATTTTTTAGCTAATTTGATGGTGCCTTTTCCGAAAACATGTTGCTTTCCATGGTATGTTGGTGCTTTAGTTTGAGTTCCTATATATGCGTTGAAAGCGTGGTACTATTTTTGTTGCTAAACATGTTTTAAGGTGATAAAACACACACACACACATATATATAAGGTCATCCCATAAGTTCTGTCCGAGTTTTAACTTTGTTAAAATAAACGAAATTTAAAGAGTATTTTATAATGTCTACTGGAGCTGAACATTATTTTTATGTTTAGATGCATTTAAACTGATCAAATTTTATTTCAGAGAACAATAAAATAAAATTTTGTTTGATTAAAACCCTGCTAACATGGAAGTACCCAAGAATCATTTGAGGCACATAATGCTTTATGAGTTCAAGAAAGGAAACTCAGCAGCCGAAGCGGCTAGAAACATTCACTCAGTTTATGGAGAGGAATGTGTGAATGAAAGAACTTGCAGAAGATGGTTTGCAAAATTCAGAGGTGGAGATTTCACCCTTGAAGATGAAGATCGAACCGGACGTTCAGTTGAGTTTGATGAAAAGCTTCTTGAAGCAGTCCTTGAAAAAATCCTGCTTTATCAGTTGAGGAATTGGCAGTGGTTCTCAGTTCAAACCATACAACTGTTCATCATCTTCAACAACTTGGAAAAGTTTCTAAACTTAGAAAATGGATCTTTTATCGAAATGTTAAGCGTCGTAGTCAGTGGCTTGGTAAAGAGAAAGGACCCCAGCCACAGCCGAGAAGGGAACTTCATGGGCAAAAGGTTCTTTCAATCTGGTGGGATCGCCAAGGAATAATCCACTTTGAATTCTTACCACCTAATGCAACAATTAATGCACAAATATACTGTCAGCAATTAGAGCGTTTGAACCAAACTTTGAGGAAAAAAGACCTGCTCTAGTGAATCGAAAAGGATGATGTTTCTTCAGGACAATGCGCTACCCCACACAGCAAGAATCACGTCACAAAAGATCGAAGAACTTGGTTGGGAGAAAATTCCTCATCCACCTTATTCTCCCGATCTTGCTCCTTCAGACTACCATTTGTTTCGTAGCTTACAGAATCATTTGGAAGAAATAGCTTTTGTAACACGGGAAGAGGTTAAAACTGACATTTGTGAGTTCTTCGAATCAAAGCCAAAATAATTTTACAGTAATGGAATTAGTAAGCTTGTTAATAGATGGAAGGAAGTCATAGATAATCAGGAAAAATACATTGTTGATTGAATCTGTAATTAAATTTTGGTCACTTGTTTTCATTATTCAATATTCGGACAGAGCTAGTGGGATATATATATATATGTATGTGTGTATTGTGTATATTTAGACAGCAATTTTTCATTGATGCATGTTTCATTAAATAATATAGACAAGTTGTGTCTATTTATTTTAAGTAAGTTCCTTCCCATACTTAATATTTCTCATTTTCACTCTCGCGTGGTCATGTGTGACGTTACGAGCTGTGATGCGATTTTCGCTTCTGCGTCTTGTATACACGAGTTTGTCGTTGCTTTGAAATTTTTCATGCAACAAAAACAGACTCATTATTGTTTTGCCCGTGTATTGTTTGATATTTTGAAATGTAATTGTCACCTTTTATAATGGCTTATGTAAGCCGAAAGCTTCGATAGGATTAAAAAAAATGTATCAAAATGGTGATTTCCTTTCGTCTTTCAATGATAATGTTTTTAAGCTTATCATACAATATGAAAGGAACTTACTTAAAATAAATAGACACAACTTGTCTATATTATTTAATGAAACATGCATCAATATATATATATATATATATATATATATATATATATATATATATATATATAGAGAGAGAGAGAGAGAGGTGTGTGTGTGTGTATATGTATGTATGTATAAACTAAAAAACATAATGACTAACCTCTTAATAGCGTATTGGCCTTTTCTGAACCCACTAAGCAGCTGTCACTTGTTCAAGCACGAATTTTATACGATATTTTAATATTCTCTCCGAGATTTTATGACAGGATATAAACAAAAGGTTTTTCAACTTAAGTGGTGGAGATTCTTCAAAGCGAAGAATCGTGTCATAAATGAGAATGAGAGCTGAAGAGTTTTCTTTCTCGTCCTGAAACCATTCCCTTACAAATCTATCTATAAAAGCAGGATGTGTGTGTGCAACGAATGCACGGCCGCAATTTTCGACGTATTTGCACCAAAATTTACATGCACATGCTCCAAGTTAGCGGTTAGGCCAAGACCGACGTTGCATTTCCCAACTCCCATCGATAGTGGAAATAATCGATTTTCTCATGCTTCTACGCCAGTTTTCATGTAGTTTGCGGCCATTTTCTACTGGCCAGTGAGAGCCAATAGCTGGCTGCCACGAATAGGCAGGAAGATTTTATTGGCCAGCGTGAGAGCCAACAGCTGACTGGTACGGATGTTAACTAGCATGCAAGCATGCAAAAAAAAAAAAAAATCGATAGCTGCATTCGTCACAAGTGGGAAAAATTCAAATCTGCATGGCACTTTACTCCAATTGGCTAATTCGCTTGCTTAAAATCAACGTTGATTCTGATTCCGCAGAACTGGATTGGGTATGAAAAAGTATTTGTTCTTAACATTCTTTTTTCATTCGGTTTTTCCAGTTACGAGTCCTTTTTTAAAGCTGATCGTTTTGTGTTAATTTTGGTTAGTTCTTTTTTTGTAACAGATTTAATGTTTAGTATAGAGCTTAGAAAAAATTCGCAATGTGAGATAGGCAAGAAGTAAAGCATGTAGCAACATCAGCACGGCAAAGGGCACTTCTTTAAAGGCAAGGAAGGGCAAAAAATATTTTAAGTCAAGTAATAGCGATTGCTGTACGAGTCCGAGTTTTTATTCATAAGGGCGTTGACCAAACATTCACACTGCCTCCAACAGTTGTTTGCCACCAATGTATCCTGATGCCATCGCTTCCTAGGGATGACGACGCATGTACCCTGTCCTGGCATGCTTACCTTCTTTCTTTTTGCCGTATGCTTTCAGAACGTAGGCAGTCATGGCTCTCCACTCCCTTCTATCCCTTGCAGCCCTCAACAAGTGCCTTCCCCCTGCCACCTCCCCCAGACTACGTTCTGTCATCCACTTGCTTAAAGCCGCTAGGTATGTCATGCGTTGTTTTCCTTTGTCTCTTTTTCCATCTGTTCGACCCGTGAGTATCAGATCCTTCCTCGTTCTGTGCCAGGAACTACAGCTGCGTCTTCCTGAAGTTAGGTATAAGCGTCTTCCCTGTTTGCATCCTCTAAGACCTGATATATTTGGCATCCTTCTGTAGAACCACATCTCCGTCGCCTTGAGCCTCTTCATCTTTGAGGAAATTGTCCAACATTCGCTGCCGTAAAAAAGGATGGATGTCACAGAACAGCTCAGTATTCTTTTAATCGTTACTAAAGAAATCCTCCTGTCTCGCAATTCTCTACCAATCTTTTGCAATGCGTCCTTGGCCATCCCAATGCGTCTACAGATCTCAGGGTCGCATTTACCGTCCTCTGTCAGAACGCTGCCCAGATATTTAAACTGCCGAGTCTGCTTGATTCTGTGAAGACAATTCCAGTGTGTTTACTACCTTAGATATAAGAATCTACGTACTGTGTGTTATACCTTATTCTTTCCTACACCTTTATTAAAACTATCTGCAATTTGTGCAACGGTAGCCATTCTGTTGGATCGTACTTCGGTGCACTTCTCCCATTGATAAGTCATGACCGCCCATTACCAAGACGTACTCATCCGACAAATCGTAATGTTTGAAGAAGCCTTTACTCAGTCTACTGGCCGTAACAGTATGGCTCCTATCAAAATCTTTTTTTTATTTTATTTTGGCATTTAATCGACTAGGAGAACCCTGTTGGCCTTCCATCAGTATGGCGGATGCTAATCACCAGGAGAATTATTCATTGCGCCTTCTCGGACTAACGTTTTCCTCTGACATGAAGTGAAAAGATTATATTGAATCAATTGCTACCTCTGCTGTTAGGAAAGTTGAATCCCTGTGACGTGCTAGAAACTTTTTGTCGCCATAATCTACCTTACTTTAATAATCGAACTTGCTTTGAATACTGTTGCCACATCTCATCCGATGCACTTGCTATATATTTAGAGATTCTTCATAAAATCCAAAAAAGAATCTGCATGTCATTGGTACTGACTTGGCATCCCGGCTTCAGTCACTTTTCTCCAACCATAATGCAGCTTCCTTCTGTCTTTTCTATAAATATTGTCATGGTAATTATAACTTTCCTCTATAGTATCTAGACTTCATGAATTTAAACAGTACTTGATTGACGATAAGGTCTCATCACTTTACAGTTGGAATGGCTAAATGTAACCGTAAGTTCTATGCTAACAGTTTCTTCCTTCATACTTCTCGCTTGTGGAACACACTTCCGGCTTCTTGCTTCCCGGTCAACTTTGATCTTTAACTATTTAAGTGCAATATCAATTGTTAACTTCTATCTTCTTAATTCTTGTTCTTTTATTATCCTCTACTTAATCCGTCCTGAGTATGACGATAAACTTACATCCGTGTCCTGGGTAAGACGATAAACTACGTCCAACAGCAAGGCCTCTGATCAGGAGGTTTTGTGCTAGCCTCCAGGGAAGTGAATTATTGCACCTTCTCAGGCTAACATTTTTTGATGACAAAGTGGAAAGATTATATTGAATCAATTAATAGGTCGGCATCTAGAAAAGTTGGTTTTACTGTGTTGTACTAGACAAAATTTCTCGCCAGAATCTACATTAATATTTATAAATCGTCCACGCTTTAAATTTGGTGCTCCTGTTATATATTTAGAGATTCTTGATAAAATAGAAAGAAGAATCTGCAATGTCACCGGTCCTGACCTAGTATCTCGGCTTCAGTCCCTTTCCCACCGCCGTAACGTAGCTTCCATTTGATGGCAATTCTTAATTCTCTTTGGTACCTAGACATTATGAATTTAAGCGTAGTACTAGACTGGCGGCAAGGTCTCATCATTTTACCGTTGAAATGGCGAGATGTAACTAAGTTCTAAGCTAACAGTTTTTTTTTCCCCCATTGGAAAATTCGTAAACTTAAGGAATCGGCACATATACTAAGCCACAAAAATCTCCTGAACCGACCAAGCATAGAAATGAATACAATATGGGAACCAGTAATAAAGAGTGCCGGAGAAAAGCGATAATAACAAAAAAAATTGAAATATGAGCTCTGGTAAAAAAAAAAAAAAAAAAAAAAGTTGCAATGGCAACAGTAAAAATTGCAATATGAGCACTGGTAAAAAATGAGATTAGGTTTATAATATCCAGAAATTCATACACATCAAGGGCACATGGCACAGTGGATAAAGGCGTTAGTGACATGACCCAAAGAGTGTGAGTTCAATACACGGTTAAGGCAGTGGTGAACTTTCAGAGGGAAATTAACAGGAGATAACTGACATCCATTAAAGCACGTGGAGCTAGAACAGTTTACCCCAGTGAGCGAAATAAAGGGTTAAGTTCAACATTTCAACCACCTGAAGAAGGCCGGAGCGTACAACGACCGAAACGTTGTAATAAATATGGCGACAAAGATGAGGACAATAGTCCGAATAATGTAAATAGTGTATATAATACCTAATAACATATCAGATACTAACAGTTTCTCACTTGTGAAACTCTTCTGCCGCCTTCTTCCAAGTCAACTTTAATCTTCAAACATTTAAACGCAATGTCAATAATGATCAACTGTCTTCGTAGTTATTGATCATTTTTTAGTTCTCCTTAGTATTTTCACATGTCTAACATTCAGTAATCCCTTGTGTCTTAGTGGTTTTATTGCCTTGATTCTGGTGAAATGATTAAAAAAAAAAAAAAAAAAAAAAAAAACGTAAAAAGTAAGTAATCTTGGCCTTATCGGATCCTAAAAGCATTGATTTTAAAAGGCAGCAGCTGTCACTCTTGCCGCATCTCGCTGGTCTAAACAGGCCAACTTAGAAAGCAGCTTATTTTAGAGTAAGTCTGTTGTGCATGTAGATCGCTGCGTTGATTAATTGTTAGAACCATTTCAGACAAATGCGCTGTACTTTGAAGAAAGAAAGAAAGAAAGAAAAATGCATTGGTAGGTGCTTCCGGTTACATGACACCGTAATGGAGCACTCACTTTTACAAATACACTGTCGTACCAATAACATTCAATAACAAATAATATTGGCAAAGGAATTCGAGAATATGTTCTTTATTTTTTCACTTAGTACTTTTTATTTGCGTTTCGTTCCTTTTCCTGAATAGATTTAGTTTCTTCTTCTTTACCCATTTGTGCAACGTCTTTTTCTTTTTTCCTTTCCGACTCTTTTTCCTTCTCTATTTTCATTCCTACTTCAGGGCTTCCTCGTTTTCTTTTTTTTTCTCCCTCCATTTTCTACCCACAACCCCACCCATTATCACTTCTTTGTTTCCTTCCTTTCTTTTCTCCAAGCCGTCGCCGCCTCCGACTTCTTTCCAGAATTTTGTTTCTGCCAATATTTTCTGTTTTTAATTTGTTTTTCACCTTTTCATTTATTTATTTAATTAGTATTTTTTGTTGTTGCTTTTCGTTTATTTTGTTTTTTGTTTCGTTTTCTTATTCTTTCCGATCTTTTTTTTTATCGTTGTTTTTCCTTCTAGTCTTCCATAGTTTTCTTCTCCACCCAAAATTTGCAATGGTTTCACTTCGATGTTTAAAAGCTACATGAAAGCCCAACGCTCTTTGCACTTGAGAGAAAAGTCAAACTAAGGTAAATGAAGAACGGCATTGAAACACAGGAAAAATAAACGATGGGAAAGAGAAAAATAGAGAGGAAGACGAAAGAGAAGAAGGGGAAACAGATAAGAAGAGAGGAATGAGGAAAACAGAAATCAAAAGGTGTGGAAGGAGAAAAACAGGGAGAAATAAGAGAGAGAAGAAAGAAAAACGAAGAAGAAGAAGAACAACAACAACAAAGAGGGAGACAGAAGAAAGGTCTGAGAAAAACAAAGAAATCAAAAGGAGTGGAAGGAGAAAAACGGAGAGATAAGAGAGAGAAGAAAGAGAAATGGAAAAGAAGAAGAAGAAGGAAGAGAAGGAGGAGGAGAACAACAGCAACAACAACAACCAAAAGAGAAGAAGAACAACAACAACAAAGAGGGAGACAGAAGAAAGGAATGAGAAAATCAAAGAAAGTAAAAACAAAAAAGGTAAAAACAAAGGAAAGAGAAAAAGAGAAGTAAGAGAGAGAAGGGAGAGAAACAGGGAGGAAGGGGGAAAAGAAGAAGAAAAAAAATGAGGGTGACAGAATACAGAAAGGAGAAAAACAGTGAAAGTAAAAAGTGAGGCAGTAGAAAAACAGATAAGATACAGTGAAAATTAAAAAGAGAGGAACGAGGAAAAGAAGAAGGAGAAAAACAAAGAAGAAGGGGGAAGAGAAAAAGGAGAATAATAAAGTGAGAGACAGACGAACGGAAGGGGGAAAAGACAGGAAGATAAAAGATAGGAAGGAGAAAACATAGAAAAGGGCAAAGGGGAAGAGAAAAAGAGGAAGAAATAAAAAAGAAAAAGTGAGGAAAAAAAACAAGGGAAGCAACAAAAAGAAGCGCGAAAGGACAGAGAAAAAACTGAAAGAAGAAAGAGGGAGACATGAAGAAGAAGAGAAGAAGGAGAGAAGAAAGACGGAAAAGAAAGAGAAAAACAGAATGAAAGATGCAAGAGAAAAAGAGAAAGGAAAAAGAGAAAGAATGAAAGAAAGAATGAAATATAAAATACAAAGAAGTATCTACAATGTTATTGGTCCTAACCTGGTATGGAGTTAACTCCACTTACTTACTTTCCTGAAACCGTTACTAGGGGACGCCCTCCGGATTATAAATACTCCGCCATATTTTTTCTTGCTCTCTTCTTACGTCAACATGTAAGTCCCTCGTGATACCTTATGATTTGTTTTTTCATATATCGGTCCTTGTTATTTCTTTGTATTCTATCATGGCGGACACGCATGCAAATCCTCCAAGACTGGCATGACGGCCTCAGTCACTTCCCGCCGCCGTAACGTAGTTTCTCTGTGCCTTTTCTACAAATAATTTTTATGGTAATTCTTCTAATGAGCTTCTCTCTTTGGTACTTAGACTTTATGAATTTAAGCGCAATACTTGATTGGCGGCAAGGTCTCATCATTTTATAGTTGAAATGGCTAGATGTAACCGCAAGTTCTATGCTAACAGTTTCTTCTCTCTTCCTTGTTTTCCAGAAAATTCTGATTTTCAAAATTTTTAATGCAATGCCAATTGTTTTTCTTTTGTCTTCATAATTCCTGTCTTTTTATTATCTCTCGTTAATAATGTTTAACTTTTCCTCATATTTTTTCACACTCACTAATCAGTTACGTCTTAGCGGCTTTATTGTCTTACTTGGTGTAAAAAGATCTCAGTTGATGATGAGTCGGTCCTTATCAGGATGAAATTACGTGTGGCAAATCGTTCAGACACAAAGAAACCCTTTGGATATATACATTTTTTTCTATAAAAATTCAAATATTCTTTAACAAAATCCAAGACGAGGACCGAAATTAGTACTTCTCATATACCAAATAATCTTTATGGTTACGACGACGTTGAAACACTGTTTTCCGTACGATTACCAAATTTAAGCAATGTCGAACCTATTCAGTAACTTATTGATTGACAGTATAGCATTACCGGGTGCTGTAAGCTTGGATGTGCGGGTGGCGTAATGGATAATAGCTCGGAATTGTTAATCGGAGTGCCGAGTTCCAATTACAGTTGGGTTCGTTATATTCCCTTACGCGCAAATACCCTTGAGAGAGATATGAATCCCCCAGCTATAGGTTAATTAGTAAGACTGGTATTACTAAATGATTATTATCTCCAAAAAATTTTAAATATTTTAAAAATATTTCCTGGCTTTAAATGATCTGCAAAAGGGTTGATAAGTCATAAAACACGAATCAATGAACCAATCATATTATCTCGCGTGTGGAATACATAGGCTTGCCTGGGTATGTAATTTTTTTTTTCAGCCTATCTACTGTGATTCCAGATCCAATGTTTATTTTATTTCCAATTTTTTTTATTTTGTTTACCTGTCCGTTTATTCACGAATCTTATCCCTACCTATTTTTCCAAAATCAAATTAACTTCAAATAAATTTTCTAACCTACTCTTTTGTTCATACCTACACTTTTATTCCGAACAAGATAGATAGATAGATAGATAGATAGATACGAACAGACTAAGATAGATAGATCTCAACCTTTTCCTTATCCCCACTGCACTATCCAAACGTTCTATCTTACAACCAAAACTCACCTCACTCTCTTCGAAGCCATAACTCCCCCACCCGACTCAGTGTCACTTTAGTAACAGACACACCGTTACCATTTCATAGGTCCTCAACTTATATCTTAATTATCCCCAGAAAAAAAAAAACGAACGGGTTGCTGTCTTTATCTGACGAGTCTTGCCCGTTATTTTACGCTTAGTTTGACGGGCGCCGTCCGACTCACTGCATTTGCCTTGTATAGCTAGCCAGGGGAGCCATTTTGAGGGAGTACGGAACTCAGGTCAAACGTCTTGCCACAAATGCAAACAGCAGCTGGCCCAAATCAAAATAGGGCATTTCGATTCAGTGAACACCGCCCTGAAGATTTACCCAAATCTCGAGGATTAACGCCACACCGATTTTCTTTTCGAGAGAGAAAGAGAGAACTTTTAATTTCGTCAGTCGTTTTATATTTTTTTGTTGTTGTTTTTTTTATCTTTTACATTTTCCATTTTTTCTCATCTCTTGCAATTATTATGTTAAGAAATATACCTGATTAATACCGATTTTTTATACCATGTCTTTTTAGGACATAGGTGATAATGGCTCTCCACAGATTCCATTTTTTTTTTCTATTATTATCTGAGAATTGCCATTCATTCTTGGGAAAGATGGCAAGGCGGTTTTTCATTGCCTTCGCAAAGGTTTCGAATTCAAAGTAGTCTTTCTCATAGGCTGGTTGCCAACCAAGGCTTCCATACTATTTAACTCATGATGAGGAGAAAGACATGGATTCGTTTATTTACCACGGGTACTGGTGCGAATGTAAATGATGACCCGAAATTTGAACCTGTTTGCCGCCGATTTTCTTTTCCGCGCCGATAACTGATATGCCCCCCTCCTATCACGATATTGAAAATGCTTCTAATTATTCAATAATTGATCTTCACATTCAGGCCATTTACTAATAATCTTGCATTTAAGAAGTAAATGGTAATGTTTAATTTTCATATCCACACAAAAGGGCGTGTCAAAAGGACGGTTTTTCCTTTGACACCGCTATTATTTTAACTACCTTCACTCCTCAACAATGTTTATTGCTTTAAAAAGCGATGATTGGACGATTAATAAAGCCCTAAATATATTAAAGAGAATTTATACATTTTTGTTCTTGAGAATTTACAACAAATATTAACCACTATTAGACTGTTTATTTACAAGAATAATATTTATAACATTCTAATTAATTTAGATGGCGGGGGGGGCATCAGAGACTGATCAGCTCTGATGGGATCGATTTGGTGAGGGAAGTATGATGTTTGAAAGACCCGAAACTGTCCAATGACCCAATTCAGAACATCACTGACTACGCCCCCTAGCGCTAAAGAGCGTATATTCAAAACTAAAAACTAATAAAATTAAAACAAATGTAATACAATATTTTTCATTTACCAATTCATAAAGAAATAAATATGAAAGCAATTTCTTTATTCATAAATTTCTAAACATTTACTTAACTGTAAAAATATGTGAACCAACTATAAAGAAATACTTATTTACCAGTTTATAAAGTCGGAATCGATTGGCAATTCTGGCCTATGATTTGTCAACTTTCCAATAGACAATCTAATAGATAAATAATGTTTAAATAAAAATAAAGATGAGAACAATAGTCCGAATAATGTAAATAGTGTACATAATACCTCATCTCAGAAATATAGACAGATACTGAAGGGCCGAAACGTTATAATAAATATGGCAACAAAGATGAGGACAATAGTCCGAATAATGTAAATAGTGTACATAATACCTCATCTCAGAAATATAAACAGATTCCCATCGGTAATCGACTATTCTAGACAATGCTTACCGTAAAGGTTTTACAGAATGTAAATATATATGATAATATGTATTATACTAGTGTACCAGTGTCGTCAAAAAATGAGGGTAATTGTTGGAAAGTCGTGAAATAATGTACTGAGATTCAATAAAGTGGAGATAAATAATTCATTACCAAAATAGAAGCCAATGAACCGTTTAATTAATCCGTTCCCTTTATATTTTTTAGACTTTCAATGCTATGATTCATTGATTACTTCTGCTATTATATAAATCGCTTTTTGATCAATATCTTTTTTTAAATATGCGTGTTATATAACGGTTAAATAGAAATATCTCTCGGTAGAAAAGGATTAGCAAAGACGCCGACGACAAAACTTATTTCAAATTGAGATGAGATGTTAACT